TATGTCACGATGTTTCATGTAAGTCGAAAGTCAACGAAAGTCCCATGGTCATCTGTCGGAAATGATCTGATATGATGAACAACTCATCATGAACTTGAATATCACCTTCAAAAGTCTCGAATCGAGACTCTAACCAAAAACTGCCAAGTTGACGCAACCGTCATCCGCGGAATTCTGTCATGCCATGAAAATCAGCAAACATGTTTCGGCGACAATTTACGGCGAATACTGGTTATAAGCTGAATACGCACAAGTTTTAGGCAAATCATGCGTGTACAAGAGCTTTCACCTATTAAATTAATTTGTTGGCAAATTCTGAATGACCCCATTTTCGACGATAAATTCGCTGATTCCTGGTTTAGTTTGGCTGCGTTGAAAGTATTCGCCTAACAGAGCCAAAATTATGGTCCTATCCTGCACAGAAACGGATTTGGACCACCCCTTGTAGGCAAATTACATGCTATGAAGGTGGTTTGCGCGTACGGGCGAGCGAATTCGAAAGTTTGGTGAACGGTCATACCAAAAATTTCGTCGAAACCTGTTCGCTACAGATACCAATGCGCTGTAATTCCGTCTGCGAGGGGGTTATAAAGGATTTTGCCGACTAGTCATTTGACCATCCGGTTACAGGTTTCGCCAAGTTTGGCGAGTTGGCGAAACCTGGTGCTCCGATGAACAAGCTTCTAACTGATTAACAACAACAAGTTGCGTTCATTTCGGAGTACATATGTTCAACTCCAGAGAGAGAGTAGACTACAACACTACAGTGTCCTTCGTCTGCTCAAGGATGGGCACAACGCTATTGTTATTTATGCCACTAGGCTGTAGCGTGACTCCTAGCGAGTGGGAGTGACTCTCAGGATCACCAGTTTTCGAACCTTTGAATGCAGGAGTAATAGTACAAGAATAGATCCATAGATAGCTGAGAAGGCTGGTACCCTATTGGGAGGCATCAACGCGCGTGAATACAGCGAGAGCGAATGCTTATGAAATCTGAAGAGCCAGAGAGACCTATGTTGCGCTGGCTGAAGACAAACCAAAAACGCTGTGCCACAACTCTATGCATATTCTGGACACTGATGGAGAGTACATCATGGACTGTGATAGTAGCTTGACATAGTGAACATGATCACAGTCTTATTAATAGCAACTCAGTAACGATCACATGTTTGTGTCTTTATTATCATTCGAAGCTTGTTGCGTTCAAGTTACCACTAAGGTTATTCTCTAAGGCACTTGAATGTTGTCCTCCCTTCCACTTGACTTAACATGCATATTGATCGAGTATTTGGACATTTCAAGTGTCGTACATTACCTTAGTACCACAAAATACCATGCTAACCTCAACGTTATATGGATCTTATTACTGCATCGTGACTTTGGTGACCTAGATTACTACAACTCTAGTAGTATACACCTAGGATGCCACCATCATCGGTTATATCAGATCATCATACTGCTGCCATACTCCCGCCCCCGCCGTACGACCTCTATCGTCTTATGCATTTCCGACGGTATCATGCTGGAGGCCTCCATGTCGGCCCAGCTCGAACTCTCTTACAGATTGCTCTTAAAGGCATTGGTGTAGTAGAGATGAATACAGCACTAGACTACTTCACTGGATTACGAGAGAATACGGCTGCATGTACAGCAGCGATATATCTTTGCTCCAAGACTGATGCTAAAAACGGTAGTATACCAGTAATATGTGGTGGTATGAAGCGATATTAGGGATGCTCGAGCTCCTCTCGAGTCGAAGCAAGGGGGATCCTGACTCTGTTGGAGCTCTTCATGAGGCAGCCAGACGCTTCTGTTATAGGAATGTTAAGTCTATGTTGGATTATTATGGAAGTGGAGATTCCCATAAAAGGGCATCGCGTAATGGAGAGGGGAAATCAGCCCTTTGGAATGCTGTAGGATACTTGGACCTGGACCTGAACTGCATTCCACATATAGGTAAACTCCCATGTGTTATCAATGCCTTCAGGGATAGTCAATGAGGAGGCTGTGGAACTAACTTGTAAAGCACTAGCTGAAGTCAGTGATGGGGACATAGTAGAGGAGTTGGAGTTGGCTGTAAGGCATAGGGACGAGTTGTGTGCTAGAGGTAATAGTAGTAGTATGGCATATACAATCCAGTATTATGTTCTCTCTATTAGGTATACTTAAGGCTGGTAACTGCCCATCATGGTATCATCCCTTGTCGAATAAGGATCTCCAGTGGTTCGCAGACCTCAACGCTCATCTTCATCGCAGTGTTGGAGCTCCTGAGCCGCTGAGTTATTAAGATGATGATGTAGGTCCCCTGTAGTATACCTTCTGGGCTATGATGATGTGGACTGGGGGATGGCCAAGTATGTAGTAGCTGTCTGATGTCACATCAGGGATGTGTATCATCTGTAGCCTCCTTTATGCTGCTGTTACGTTAATATCATCTGTATTGTGTAGTGTGTCCCGGATCCGTCGTGAACTCGATATCTCAGAGTTAGTAGTTTCATATTGTGATCACTTTACAAGGAATATGTCTATGCAATCTTCGCAGTATTATGGTCCTATCAGTTTGAAGGGGGAGAGAGCCCTCATCACTGGAGCTACAGCTGGCATTGGCCAAGCTACAGCTAGACGCCTTGCAGAACTCGGTTGCGAGCTCTATCTGGTACATCCCCCCTAGATACTGCATGCTGTACATATCCTTTTAGTTGGGGCGTAGAACTGATAGATTGGATGCCTTGAAGGAGGAGTTGGAGGGGCGATTCCCAAGTGTGAAGGTACATTCTATACCTTTCGATGTGAAGAACAGCAAGGCTATTGAGGAACTACCTCAAAAGGTAGGCGTTCTAGCTATACTAGTTGCCCCCCTGTTGTTATCCTCTAGATCGGGCAACCTATTGACATTTTAGTCAACAACGCTGGATATGCAGCTGGAGTTCCTAAGGCCTGGGAGGCTGATGTTGATGACATGCGAAGCATGTTTGAAGTGGGTACAACTACAGTTGATGAGTATCTAAGTTGTTGTTGATAATAGGTTAACGTCATTGGTTATATGGCCATGATTAAGGCATTCGTACCAGGGATGTTGAAGGCTGGTAAGGGCCACATCTTAAATGTCAGCTCAGTGGCTGGCCGCGAGGTATTCTTCATATTCTTAAAGTCACTTAATTGTTTTCTTGTCTGTAGCCATACACTGGTGGATCAATCTACAACGGGACCAAGTTCGCAGTTACTGGTTATTCAATGGCCGC